CCCCCCCCCCCGCACGATCATGATCACGTCCATCTTCCCTGCACAAGTACAACCACAATTGCGGCCATCTCCCCCACTGAGCATGACCATGATTGCACCTGTGCAGGGAAGAAGGGCGCCTGATTGCCACCTGATGCGGTCCATCTAGCTCTGAATTATCTGCTTTAATCGGTAGCAGCCTTTCAAGATTCCATCCTGTCTTTTCCTGCCTGATCTAGAGATGCCAGGGCTTGAACTTGAGACCTTTTGCGCACACTGAGTTATGGTCCTTCTCTTAAGTCAGGTGGGGCACTGTTTAGTTCCTAGAGGCTGGATTGCATTCTAATTGAGCTCCCCTCAGTCCAGATGAGGTCAGAGTGAGCCCTGTATGGAGAAAGTCCATGTTGGGAGAGGTGCGTATGATTGCCTGCCTCTGTCTGCAGAGGTGCCCCCCCCCCCCCGAGAGAGAGAGCCCGCGCACACACACAAGAGAGTGCTGCTGCTTCTTTCTGCATGATGTTTGGTTAAGGTAGAGGAGTAATGGTTATAGGTAAAGTGCAGTAATGAAACCAGGGTGATGGAAGACTTTGAAGGTAAAGATGAAGAACTTTTGCCACATCTAGGAATGAACAGAATGTCAGCGTAAGAATGTAAGGACAGAGGAGAGGAGAGGAGAGGAGAGGAGAGGAGAAATATTTTGACAGCTGTGCACTAAGTAATGGTGAGAGTACCCATATGAAACAACAAAAGACCAGAAAAGAAAAAGTTACAGCAGTCAAGCTAATGGATGATTCTGGTGTAAATAGAGAAGACAGAGCATATTCCTGCAACATGGTAAAATGTAATGATAGCAACACAAAGGAAGGGGAGGAAAGAAAAGAGTCAAAGCCAAGAAAAAGTGGCTGTAAGTTACTTTTAATGGATAAGTGGGGGGCAGAGTATAAGGAGAGACAGGCTTAGGAAGAAGCTGAGAATTTCATTTGTGTTTATAATGAGTTTGAGAGAGTAAAGCATCCAAATGGGAACAGCAGGTAGTTTATAGAATTGGATGAAAGGAAATAATCTGAAGTAGATGGTAGGTTGACATTTCATCAATATATAGCCTGTACTATCTTGGGAGTTGTTATTATTATTATTATAACATTTCTATGCCGCCCCTTGCCGAAACCTCGGGGCGGCTTACAACACGATAAAATACAATGAAATACAATAGCACATAATAAATTACCATTAATTACAAAATACAAAAAATACATTGATTTACAAATATTTGATGAGTTGAGGTCATCAGGCTCCACGTGCGTAGAAACATAAAGGGCCAAGAATGCATCCCTAAAGTGAATCTAACAGTGGAGAGAAAGCAGAAAAGAACTTTACATTAAATGGAAACATTAAAGAAACTTACGTAAAAGGGATTGAACAGAATCAACAGAACTGAAAGTAGCAGAGAGATGAGTTAGGACCAACTAGATGGTTTTGTGGGAGGCAGATGGTTAATGGGTGTTGTCTCAATGTAGACCTGTGTCTGTATAAAGTTAAGTCTTCTAAGATTAAACTAATTAATGTACACTGTGGATGAACTATCTGTTCAGTTTCTCTCTGCTTCCCTGGCAGGGGCTTCTCAGTATGTTAAGCTCTATGCAGAGGCTAAATATAAAGTCCAACAATAAGGAATCCTGTAATTATATCAAAAGTAAAAAAGCAGCCAAGGAAGCACTTGGGCCATTGGATGATAATGGAATTCAGGAGCACTGAGGGAGGGCAAGTAGATCGCAAAGAAGCTGAATGAATCCTTTTCATCAGTCTTCCCACCAGAGGATAGAGAGCAGATGCCTGTCGCGGAGCCTGTGTATTCTGGAAGGGAGTCAGAGGAATTAGGCAGATAGTAGTGACACAACGGAAGAAGTTCTCAACTTTATTGACAAACTGAAAATCAGCAAGTCACCTGGTCCAGATGGCATCCATCCTAAAGCTGTCAAGGAACTCAAACATGAAATTGCTGACTTTCTTACCAAAATATTCAACATGTCCCTAAAATTACCCTTGTACCAGAGGATTGGAAAATGGCCAATGTAACACCAAGGGAAAAGGTGACCTTTTTTTTCTTTTTCAGAAGACAATCAGTGGTACCGTGCATCAGTTTTAGCATACATTTCTGATAAAACTGCTCTGGTGGGCTATGTAGACTATGGAAACGTTGAAGTCCTTCATTTAAGTAAACTTCGACCAATCATTCCAGAATTAGTGGAACTACCAGTGCAAGCTATAAAGTGTACCCTTGCAGGTATGAAAAAGTGAATAAATAAAAATTTAAAATAGCAGATACAGTGATGCTTTTTTCCACTTTGTGAGGGACGCAGTACTTCATATGTCTTTCTGTTTTTTATATTCTTTTCTCATTCAAGTTTGCATAGGTTTACCATTTGTTTATTACACTTATATCTTGACTTTTTTCCTCTTACATGGAACATGAGGTGAATTACATGGTTTTCTTTTCTCCATTTTATCCTCAACAACCAGGTGAGGTAAGGTATGCTAGGAGTCAGTAACTGACCCAAAGTCACCCTGTGAATTTCATGGCTGAGGCGAGGACTAGAATCCAGAGCTCAGGATTTCCAGTCCCACACTCTTTATATCAAACTGTCTGTCTCACTGCTTGGGATATATATTGTGGTTGTAACAGTAAAGTGTAGCCTCACTTGGAGGAACTCACTTGCTCTGGTTTGGGGCAAGTAAGAATGTAGTGTGAAATTCACTGCAGGCTATGCAGACTACCTTACTGGCTATCCTTGCTGTTAAGCCAATGGAAAGCATAGGCAGAGAAATTAAAAGGGAAACAGGAACCACATACACAAGGGTGAAGCAGGCTATGTTGGACAGATTTTATTTATTTTATTTATTAAAACATTTTTATGCCGCCCCATTCGCCGAAGCCTCGGGGCGGCTTACAACAAAAAGATTAAAATAACATTTTAAAATATATACAATAAAATACAAATATATAATATAAAACATACACTATAAAACAAGCCGCCCTGGCCAAATAAAATTCAATAATATTAACATTTAAAATACTGCTTAAATAAAAAGGTCTTCGCCTGGCGCCGAAAAACAAATAACGACGGCGCCAGGCGGACCTCTCTGGGGAGTGCATTCCATGATTCTTTTAGGAGTAAAAAGTATTGAGCCTTCAAGTGCAAGCACCACCATGCTTAGAGTCTCAAGAGGCTAGCTTTTTAGATTGGGGCCCATATGCACTAGACTTTGGTTTGTTCCCACCTGTCTCATTTAAGACCGATCACACAGATTCACCTCCTTCTGTTGGCTTGGAAGGAGAGGAGGCAACAGTGCATCATGGCAGTTGCCCAGGCCACCTTGCCTGCTTGGTGACCTATTTGCTTGTCCACATTGTGGTATGTGCCTGGACTGTGCATAGGATTGCGATCTGAAGCTGCAGTCCTTGGAATAAGCTCAGCTGAACTTGGAGTGCCTTGCTTCTAATTATGTGTGGTGTCTATAGCGTAAAAGGAAGAACATCCTCCTAAAAGATAACATTTTACTGTCAAAGCTGTGCAATTTATCTGTCTCTGGTTCATAATACTATCTTGGTACTGCAGAGGTATTTCAGGATTTAGCAACCCTAGAATATCACCAAGCTCCAGCTTGTGTTTGGGGATATCACTGATGTGGCAGCCCTACTCATGTTAGTCGTGTGAAGCTGCGCACACCGGGAGCATACTGACCTGAAACCTCTTATAAATATGGAATGGCAGCACAACAGTACAAGGGCAAAACATGGGAGAAGCGGATTTGGTATTTCACTAAAGACTGAAAGATAACTTGGCCAGCACTGCTTAGGAATAAGCAGCAGTTTCTGATATTAAAACAATTTGTTTACCATTTTGTATATGTGGAATATATGACAGGTTGGTAGGAAGGCAAATAATATCTAAGGTACTTGAAATTGTAAAATGTTGTAATGCCATTTACAAAGATAGTGGATGGTATCTATAGTTGAGCTGTGGAAAAACAAGATACTCAGTTTTTAAAGAGGTTAGAAGAAATCTTCTCTTTATTTTAAGGTGTGAAGCCAACGTCTGGAACCTGGTCCACAGAAGCAACATCTGTTATGAAGCAGCTGATGCAAAACAAAGTGGCCACCATAAAAATAATGGATAAGAAGGAGAACACTTTTGTGGTAGAAATTTCAGATGAATCAGTGAGTCCAATAAGAAATGTGTCTGAATATCTTGTAAAATCAGGCTGTGCAGTGGAAGAAACCACGACTGGCTTGACAGGGCTTGACACATGCATTGGAACACCGCAGAAAGAAAATGGTAAGTGCCTAAAAAGTTTTTATTATAATTATCTTGAGACCCTGGCTCCCTTTTGTTTCTTAATTGTGATTTTTACAGTAAGTGAATGAAAACAGAGATTTATGAACAGTACCAAACTATCCTTTTTTCTTGAATATTATTAGTGCTACTACAAAAACTTATTACTGGTCCATACTTGTGCAACTAATCAAATTTTCTTTTGAAATTTAGTTCAGAGGTTGCAGTTCCAAAAAAAGAAAAGAAAAACAATTTTTGGTACTACTGATACTAATATGACACTAACTTGAGCATTAAACAAAGAACTAGTTGTTATTCATACTTGTCTCTTTGCAGATCAAAAACTAGAGAGAGTTGATTGGTCTTGGGTCACATTAACAGCTGAACAAGTGGTAAATGTTACAGTGTGTGTGCTGTACAACCCCAGTGAATTCTATTGCCACTTGTTAAACAATGACGGTACATCTTTTTTTACCCTTTCTAAGTGTTCTGTTCTTTCATGTGTATTAGTATTGCATTTCAGCGATTCAGAGCTCCATTGCAGTAGCACTCCTGGACTTTGGAACAATCACTTTCATGGCTAGCCAGTTGTTCAATGAGTCATGAAACTGATTGGTGTCCCATTGCTTACGTTCCACACTCACATAATTATGGATATAATTACTTTTGGCTTTATATTCTATTTTGTGTAGAAGCAGAAAGGATTAAAAGGGTATTCTTCTATCATACTGATTTACCCCTTTGTGAGGGAAGAAGGTTCTTAAATTATAAACACAAGAAAGTTGGGGAACAAAGTACTGTTATTGCTTGTTATTTTATAAGTGTGTATTTAAACTATTTTATAAATAAAATTGGTCACTGATAACTCAATCAAAGCTGATAGCATAAGACTGTAATATTAGGAATGTTGCTGATAGAAACATCCTGTAATAACTGTTCAAGAAGTGTGAGATTTTAACTGATTTAAATGATTGATTGAATTGAGGACTAATATATTATTTTCATTAACTTTTGATGGCCACTTTACTACTCCCAAGGACTGATTAACAGTACAGTACTTCAATCTTACCTTTGCAGACTTGAATGCTCTAAAAGAGCTCAATGCATCTTTAACAGAATTCTGCAAGAAAATTGCGCCTAATGTTTCTAAATTAACAGTGGGGGAGTTGTGCTGTGCTTATTTCTCTGGTAAGTATTCTTGCTTCCTTTTGCTCATTCCCTTCAAGTACTGCAGTGATGTCTTGCAGAAATTTCAACTAACTAGTATTCTGTCTTATTTCTCATACTAAACCAGTTAGGGAAGTTTGATGTACCTGTATGAACACTGGGTTCTTGAGTGCTGGTAAGCTTAAGAAGCAGACAGTCACAGAATCCTAACTGCAGGTTCTGAATTCTGGTATACAGCTGAACGTTCCTACTTTTGATTAGTAAAATAAAGCAACAGTCAAATAGTTCTGCAAAGTTTCCTTGCCTGGGAAGGTTGGTCTTTGTGTGAAAGGGGTTTCTTCTTTTTCCATTTCTCTGGACTGGATGTTAATACATACCTTGCATTGAGCAACTTTAGTGTCTGGCTGAAAATGTTATTTCTGTGAAATAGAATGAAACTATGAATCTGTTTTGTATTGCTGTACAATGAAGAAAAAGATTGTGCCCATTTATAATGGGGAAGTAATTTTGTTTACTTACAGGTTTTTGCATTTTTCTTTAATTTAGGTGATGGTAGATGGTATCGTGCCTTGGTAAAAGATGCCACTTCATTTGAAGCCTTTAAAGTTCAGTTTGTGGATTATGGAAACTGTCAAGAGGTGACTCTGGATAAAGTCAGACAGCTTTCGTCTTCATTTTTGAAACTGCCATTTCAAGCAATCAGATGTAGGCTATCAGGTAATGGGCTCTCTTACTTCAATAGTAAGAAATTATATTGAACTGCAAGTAAAATAGGAAAGTACACTGTAAATACACACTACTATCCTTTAACTCAACTTGAAATTGGTATGGTCAGTAACTTTACTAAAATTGACTGATCTTTAATGCCCTGTATCAGAATGCTTAACTGGAGTACTAGAATCTCAATTTGCTGTACACTTTTAGAGCTTTCCTACATGAGGCTGTTAATCTACTGTACCTATGTTGAGTTTAGTTGCAGAAATGAAGTGCAAATATTGTATGAAGAGTGTTTCTTTCCGGCTTTCCTGCTCCATAACCCTAGGTAGTACTATATAAGCAAAATAGCACAAATATACAAGTGGGAATAGTTTGTCACTTGCTATACATAAAACTGCATTTTCCCTCTTCTAAAAATTCTCACCAAAACCAGTAATGAAACTTTAGAGTCCTTTCGACATCTAAAAATCCCGTAAACAACATAATTGCAGAATGAAGAGTACAAAATAAATGTCTTTTGTTGAAAAGCTTTGAGAACAGGAGTTGGAAAACAGCAAGGCCATTCAGAAATGCCATAGTAGTGTAAGACAACTGCAACAGAATCTGTTAGTCATTTATAACTTGGGATAAATACTGAAAATGTCTTTATTCTTATGTGTAATATGTCTTTTAAATGTATAAACCTAGAAAAGACTGACCAAGGTAAATTGTGGTTCTGTTCTAAAGCATCCCTCGCCACCTTCAAATCAGACCATGCTGTTTGGATGCCATCTGCTCCTTTTAATCTGGCCTTCCTTGTTGGTCTCCCTAGCCTGAGAAGTTTTCCTGGCTCAGCTCAGTGATTTCCAGGTTTCTGTCCAGTTGCGTCCTTGACTTTTCGTGAATACTGTCCCTTTGGGGAGTTGAGTTTAGATGTCAGAGTTGGTTTAAAACCCTCTCATCCCTTTTTTGTCAGAGTGTCTTTGAGTCTAAATTATGAAGTACAAAGTAGCATAGCAGACAACCAAGCACAGAGGAAAATGCCTGGTTTTCGCAATAGTCAAGAACCAGAGAGTCTTACTTCTGACAGTTTTCTTATGTCACCTTCCATGATGCTTCTGTTCTTTCAGTAGCTCCTCCTCCTTCTTCCTGTATTCTGGATCATTGTTGCCCTCTCCATAAATCATTATTTTCAGGACACTGTTTGAACTAAGCAGGTAAGCCTATATTCTAGGCCTGCTCAGCTCAGTAGCTCCAGTTGCTTTGGACTACAAATCATTCCTGGGCATTAGGCATGCTGGCTGAAGCTAATGTTATTTTTGAAGTCTATAATACCTGGAGGGTACCAAATCAAAGTCTGCTATATTCTCATTTGTCAGTGACTTGGGGAGGGTTTAGATGGCACCATTGCTGACCCGAGATGTCTTATGACTTCTAAAGCATTTTTATCATTGTGCTCAAGAGACAGAGCTTTGGGTATGCATCTGTATGGAAAAGTCATTTCAAGTTTTGAGGCCAGCCCATAAGGCAAACAAGGTCTGGAATTTCAGGTAACTGCTTAAATTGTGATAATGGATTCTTACACATTGTTATAATGCTTTAAGAGACTTAAAAGTGCAATCTTACACATGTTTTGTAATACTTTGAGAAATTTTAAAGTGCAGTACTATCATTTTTGATTCTTACCAGTAAGTGCATGGAGAATTGTACCCTTTCTGAGTGCAAGTGCATTGCCTGAAGAACAGCTAACAACTGCTGGAATATTTTCCCTTCTCAGGGGTAAGGCCGATTAATGAGGAATGGACCCCAGAAGCTACAGCCTCACTCCAGATGTTAACAGCTGGAAAGACGCTTCAGGCCAGAGTCATTTCATTAACTGAAAATGGTGCTGAAGTAGAGCTTATTGACAATTCCAGTAGCAGTCCCGTAATGATCAGTGACATTTTAATTCATGAAAAATTGGGTTTGAAAAAGGAAATATTGTCAGATCAGAAAATGCCACCAAATGAATTGGCAGCCAATCACTTCCAAGGTAATTAACCTTGCACATTTTTGAATGGTGTGAGAATGTATGAAAGAATTTTTGTTCTTCAGAGTTTTAGATAGAACTGCTGTGGTATTGAACATAATCAGTAAACATGAAATTATTGAGGTGCCATATCTCTTTGGTGACATTTTATTGGCATACATTCGTAAATGTTATATTGATGGAATCAGAATGAAACATCCTGGTTCTCAGTAGTTAAGCTTAAGGTACCAAAGCAGTAATGAACCATAACAGATATAGCTCAAAATAAACATCATAAATTCTAACATCCTTGAATAATTGCCCCGCTCTCAAGAAACCATGCCAGCGGGTTTTTAACTTACTTAATACATTTTATATTGTCTGACTGGCGATTGGTTTTGGAGTGCCTGTACAGTCATAAAACCAAACAGCAAAGTAAAAACATATCAAAATAATCCAACAAATAAAATATTTTTGTAATTTGTACAATCTATTTCTAAAAGATTTTATACCTTAGTCCCACATAGGATCTTAGTTCCTGAGAGAAGTGGTATGTAGAGATGTCAGAGAAATTTAGAAGTGAGTTTGGTTTTCTATTAATGTGGTCAATAGATTCCACAGGAGTCCAGCTTTTACCAAGCTACATGGATTCCACACACTTGTGGCCTATTCTTTTATTTTCCAGGATTGTATGCCAATTTCTTTGCAGAAAAATTATAATAAAACACTTTTACCTAGGAGCCTGGTCCAGCCATGACACTCAGGATAAACAAACAAACAAACAAGTATGAACAGTTTATGGAATACAGTGATGAAATAAGGATGCAGACTATAGACACTATAAACACTTCCTTGTCTTTTGCCATTTTGGTCCCTGAACTGACCTGGGAATTTTCTGTAGATTTCCAGAGTTTTCTAGGCAAGTGACATGTCAGCTCCTTGTCAAAGTTGAGTTTCCAAAAAGGCACATTTGCCCTCATGGGCTAAAGAGTAAAAATGTGCTTTGGTGAAGGAATGGTTGATTCTGGAAGTGCAAATTTGCACAGGTGTGCATGAATATAAGCTTAAGAAATTGAAAAATAAATCCAATTCTGTCAAGGAGTAAATGACAGAATGAAAGGCTAATTGGTGCTATTTTCCCCTTGTGTTTCTGTTTTTGTGTTTTTGTTATGCTTTAAGATCATTTTTGTAATCTGCATTCTATTATTAGCAGCCCTATGTTGCCATTTTTGGGATGAAAAGGTGGGATATAAAACAACTGTAGCTTGAGGCAAAATACTTTAAAAATAAAGCATATTGGATGTTATCCCAAGGGAAAAATCAGTGAATGGACTGTGCTACTGAAGTTCTACTCTTTATTGCAGGCTTCAGGCCTTCTGAACATGTGTTCCAAACACTCAAGTGACCTTGAGACTGGCATCAGATACAGTACAAGTTGCTGCATTTAGTATTAATGGAGGCATGAAGCTACTTGCTATTAATTAGATTACACTTTCCCTCATGGAGAACCTGGATCTCATATAGTTTGTGACTTGGTGGAAGATATTGCACCTTTATTTGACAGTTTGCATCAATACTAGTCTTTAAGGATATGCATAAATTATTAGCATTTTAAATCATTTTGTAGAAGATCATTTCAATTTATAAGCATTCATGCCTATTGAATTGAAAAAAGCTGCTGAATATTAAAATTGCACTGTGATGGCCTCCAGACTTAACCGATAACATGTAAACTTGTGCCAAATTTTCCATTTACACTGAATTTGTCTTGCCTATCTAATTAGGTATTTGGATGCATTTTAGTTGGTAAGTAATTGGGAAAAAATGGAAATGAATGAGGAATTTAGAAGTAGCTGGATATTTAAGGCCAATCCCAACGAGGGTATAATGCCTTTGTGTGGAAGAGTGCTCTCAGCATTGACTTCTCGTATTGTTGGCATGCATGCAGGGCCCGTGAGCGAGTTGTAGGATCAGCTGTGGGTGCTGTGTCCATACTTAGATTGACTCACATCCTGCTTTACTATAACATTGAATGATGATACTAAGGGCAGATCAGTTCCACGTGAGGTCATGAAATAAGTGCTGCTTCTGTCTAATATTACAGAAATGTCTACATGCATACAATGGACATCAACAGAACTTCCGGTTGATAAAACTGTGAATGTCCGTGCATTACACGTGATACATCCTGGTTTATTCTATGTTGTACCAATAAAAGTCAAAGGTAAGGATAAAAGTGTGCAATGCTTATACTGCATCAGTATAAAAGTGTTCATATTGGTCTAGTATAGATAAAGTAGGAAACCATTTTTCCCGAGTATGAAAGTGAGCTGTGGTGTGCTTGGGCTTGTACACTTTTCCTTTTTGTCTCTTCTTTTAGCCCCTGTGAGGAGAACTGAAGCTTCTACTTTTACCTTCCTACATTAATGGGATTGTTTTAGAATCTAGCAGCAGTCTGAAATATTTGTAAAGCCTTGTCTGTTAGCAGATCTCAGTGACTGGGGAGGGGAGGGGAAGGACTCACACATCCCATAATTGTACATTTTACCCTGAGGAGTTAGCTATGCTCCAAGTTGATTGTTGTCTTGACTAGAGATGTGAAGAACTGGCTGGAAAGATCTGACTTCTCTCCTGCACTCAGCTTTGGCCATGCAGTGAGCTGAGCTGGGATTAAGCCTGCAAAAGCACAAGAACACTAGCAGAGCCCTCCTTTGTGCAAAGTATACAAAGCCTGCAAGCCATGTGCAAAAAGAGGACTCCACCTGCACAGTAGGCACATGCATGGCAGGAAGTGTGTGCACAAGGTGGATTTTTGGGCTCACTTTCTGCTGAACACCCATGCGGACACTAGGTGTGAGATGGAGTGAGGACAGAGAAAGTAGGCCAGAGTCCAAGAAGCCAAGCCAATTCCACTCATAAACCAGACTCCTCACACATTGTAGTCTTGACACATAGTAAAAAAACACTGATTTATTGTTCGTAAAACAAATTTATTCTGGTATATTGGACACCTTCAATTTTCTCCTGTGAGTCCAGTATTTAACCTGTGTTTTAGGTTTCAGTTTTGCATTTTCTTGTTTTTTTGCAGGACAAATCTATTATCATAATTCAGTGCAGACAGTTTTTCCTATGTTTGCAAAGTGCTGCTAACTATAATTTATTTGAGAATTTAAATTGTTTTTATGGGTGACTGGAGCACTCAAGTGTGAAGCACTGACTTCCAGCCATCATCTTTCTAAAGCCCAGAAAGGTTTTGGAAGGAAAGGCGGCTGGAGACCACAGTTCAATTGGAAGTGTGTCCAGATGCCTGGGGAAAAAGAAGTGGAAAAGAGGGTAGACCCAGTTGCAGCTGGGGAGGGATGGGGACTGCAGCAGGGTAACTGGGTAAGGGAAGGATTTGGGTGCACGGAAGAGGGGTGCAGTCGTGATCGTCACCCAATGCGGAGTTCGCAACCTGAGGAAAAAATGTTCTGAAATTTCTCTTCGCGACCCAATTTGGTCGTGAACTGAGGCATTCGTGAGCCAAGGTACCACTGTATTTAATGTTTTTAAAGATGGCATGCAATGAACCATAGTAGTATACCTGTTGAAATGTTGAAGTAATTCTTGGAATAGAATACTAATAAAATCATTGTTTAACTGAAGTCATATAGAAAACAAAACATACATTTACAGGTGAAACATTAAAGTTGTTCATTGGATCCCAATAGCAGAATGACACTATTCAAATCAATGGTAGAGGAAGGTTAAGCTTAAACAGTTCCCAGTTGCATCCAGACCTGGGAAGCTTTGATTAGTTTATTTATTTATTTATTTATTTATTTATTTATTTATTTATTAAAACATTTCTATGCCGCCCCTTGCCAATACAAAATACATTAAAACATAGTTTAAACTGTGTTTAGTAAGGAAGAATCAAATCTTGCTATCAGAAGTTCATTTCTACAAAGCTATAGGTTACTGTTGCATTTAAACCAGGGCATTGTTAGATAAAATCCAGCTTTTACCGTAGCTGCAATTCTGCCTTTGTACTGAAAAAAGTGCAAAACCTGTTGGCAGAAAATGCTACAGAATGTTCATAAGCTTCTAGAATTGAAAGCTTCCCAATTCAAGAATTTGAATTATGAATGAAAAAAGGTGATTGCGTAGAAAGGATAGTAATTGATGATTTTCCTTAAATATTTGATATTCTAGGTAACATTTGTTCAAGAATCTTGTTGTTTCTTTGTAACTTTTATGTTTTTTTCCTCTCTCTTCCTTCCAAAATTTACTGTTATTAAAATAAAATTGTTTATTAAAAATAAAGGAAGAAATGCTGATAAGTATATTTTGTTAAGTCAGACTTCATTAGAACGTTCTTTAGATTTCTGAATTAGTTACTTCATTATGCATATTATGTCACCCAAGAAGCCAAGGGCTTTTTCTGGCCGTATACTGGAACGTTATACTTCTGTTTTAGTGGATCCAGAGAAATTCCATAAGCTAATGACTGAACTCACAGACTACTGCAACTCTCAGAAGGATAGTACCTTCAAACCAAAAGTTGGTGAACTCTGTTGTGCCAAGTTCTCAGGTAAGAATTAATTTAGAAAATTGGATGTGGAGCAGAGGGGGTTAAAAAGTGTCCTGTAGAGCTTTCTGTCTCTGATAGGGGAATTTTTTTTAAAGTAAAACTGTGCCGTTTCAAAATACGGCTCTGAATTTACTAAGTCCCCATTGATGGATGGTTGCCCAGTTGGATGAAAAGATTTTGCACAAAAGAAATTCTTCTCCCTGGTAGCTTTCCACGTGATTAAATTAATTGCTGTTGAAGGTCATGTTATCGAATGATTCAGTAACTAAATGTCCACCTCAACTGAGAATACAAATTGATCTGAAATGGCTGGTCTTGCTTGACTGCATATACCTTGGCTTCTGATTGTAAGACTGACTTCTCCTTGTTGTTTCTTTTATCCCCATTTAAGTTTCATCTGGCAGTGCAGTATACATGTGCAGAAGTGTTGCAGTAACACTTCTGTGTTGAGGAGATATTTACCTGTTCCTGCTTGCCTACTCTCCTGCCCTTTCCGTTTTCTTCAAGTGGTGTGGAATGCCCATGATGTAAATAATCCGACATGAGCAATTGCCAAATAATGAGAATCCCACAGGCAAGCCTTATATAGTCTAAAGGAAGCCCAGTAGGTCATAGCCTCCAGATTATGCTACTAAAGTTGTTAAAATGTACTTTGTCAGGAATATAGATATGAGAAATTCATTGCTTATTGCTTTTGGGTTTAAGAGAACCATCAAAACTCAGGGATTAGGTTCTTTGTGCATATCATTACCTTCCCAAACTAAACTTTGTTTCTAAAACTCTTTTTTTAGGTGATAACAACTGGTATCGTGCTGTTGTTCTGGAAAATCGTGTGTCAAAAGCGAAAGTGGCATATGCAGACTATGGAAATGTGGAAATTTTACCATGTTCTAGACTGCTACCTATAATTGCTCCCTACTTGGAACTACCTGTTCAGATACTTAAATGTTCCCTAGCAGGTAGCAAACCAACAAGTGCAGTTATTCAAATAGTAACTGTCTGAAAGGAACTTTGATTCTTCAGTTAATATTTCTATATATTTACATACATTTACGGAACCTTAAGCCGTAATGTGCTAACAAACTTTACTAGTGACATTTTTGAAATATAATTGTTATATTGGCTGATCAGTCACAGCTGTATTAATTTCAGTAACCTGCTCTTAGATATTCTTTGGAAATAAAATGTATTAATAATGTGAAAGGACTTATGAGGACTAACTCTTGGCTGAGTAAGTTTTTTCTCTATCTCAAGCATATTCTTATACTATGCTCACTTGAATGGGATTGAAAGTACTCAAATCTGAGAGGAGTACGTTCCCTTATTTTTAAAGATGGTTAATTTAAAATTCAGATGAATAATGGAAACAGTTTTGACATTTCCTGTACTTGTGAATAAACCCACTGAACTTCTGGGTTATATGCTGTCATAATCTACAGTTGAATTTAAGGTTTATCTTTATTAATAGGAATTACATCATTGGATGGAAAGTGGTCCTTGTCAGCAACCCAGAAGGTGAAATGTCTCTTACTGAACGAGGCTGTAACAATTACAGTGAAAAGAGTTGATGGAGACATTCATGCTGTCACTGCCAAAATAAATGGTGACAGAGGTATTCTGGATGTAGCTGACCAGCTAGTAACTGAAAGCATGGCAAAATATTGCAGCAGTGGGAATCGTAAGTACTTTCACACAGCTGATTCCTTCTCTATGTGCTTGAAGGTTATGTGTTCATTAAGAGTCAAAAGGATACCTGTTACCATATGCACACAATGCTGTGCTGTCAATATTTTAATTTTCAAAACTGAAAATGTCTCCATACTGCTCACTGATTGAACAAGATGCATTTTTCCTTTCCTTTTCTTTAGAATGTTCAAAGCAGTCTCCTTGCTGCTGTACAGAGTTGAGAAAGCAGGTGAGTGTCAACCCAGAACTTAAGTTCTGTTTGTTTCCAGATAGTGATTGCTTACAAAGATAATACAATCCTGATTTTATGTGTAAGGGTATATCCATCTGTGGACAAAAAATAGGCAGGTTATTCAATGGTCTGTCTATGCAGAATATACAATGGAATAGCTACCTTTGTAATACAATACAGTACACTAAGCGATTAGCACTAATAAGAATTTTTATAGCAGTTATTGTTCAGGTTGTGTTATTTCTAGCTGAAATTTTTGTGGGAACAAAATTGCCTTCAGAAGCATTTCATCAACAGATTATTTTGAAAATAGATGCAAAGATTCTCTTCCCCCAGCAAAGGTGTATTTGGATCCAGCGCAAGATGATGAGGTAGCCATTTTGGGGGGGGGGGGTTATAACTCTAGCTATTTTTTTTAAAGCAGATAGCTATGTAAATTTGACATAGAAAACCCCCAGCAATGAAGGATATAGATGGCACAATAAACATGAAGTTTCCATCCAAGCTAATACTCAGGACCCACTCCCTTTTCTTGGCCAGGAAAAAATCTTTACCTCCAGTTGGTTACTGAACAGGTAATAGCTTTTCCCTGCAGGAGTGAAGGGGGCAGGACCTGCAGAAAAAATTACTGAACATTTCAATCCTGCAAATCTCTGAGTAGACCTACAGAGGCTTAGTATTCATGATACCATTTGAAAATGCTGCTAAGCGATTCAATCCTACTTACTTAGGAAAAAAATAAGATTCCCCACCTTGCTAGTGGCAGTGTATATGCACATACAGGTAGTGCCAACTCCCCAGAAGCTCAATGCAAACATCAGAACCCAAAAAAGTTGTTCACTGCTACTAGAGATAAAGCCATTCCATGATAATGTCTTTGATTTTCTGTACTCTCACAGGTTGTAAAGCTTGAACAGATTATCAACTTTCTCCTAAAAGACCGCTTTGGAGAAGATAAGCTTCCTGAAATTATAAAGTCTTTAGAAGAATAAAGCTATGCTGCAGCATACAGCATTATCTGCTTCTGGAGTAAATTAGATTACCTGTTGTTCTTAATGCTTTTATGAAAGCTGCATTAAGACATCAGTCATAAACATTCTCCCTTGAAAGTAAGATGTGCTGCAGGGATGGGAATTGTGTGGCTTTTCAGATATTGTTGGACTGCAACTTCTATTACGCTTACTGACTACCCTGACTAGGGCTAGTGAAAATTCGGGGACCATCACATGTTTCCTTTTCTTCATCCGTTGCAATAAGACCAATGCATGTTGAATTAGATCATGGTTCAAAAAACCATTATGTGTAACCCAGAGCCATTAAAATCTATGGAAGTTTTAGCTTTACCTTCAGAAGAATATAGATTGCACCCAGTATATTCAAGGCTATTAAACTGTAGCTTCTTAAGAAGGTGTCAGAATGTAACTACTTCATACAGCCCTGTAAGCACTCTTCCCTAATATATTACATTTTAGAAAACAGTGCTAATTTTCAGGAGACAATATAGAAAGTAGTATTTGGAACTTTACAGTCTCTTATCAACGTAACGAGATGTCTTAAGCGTAACACACCAGCTTTCTCAGTTCATGATGATGTTTCATGCTCACTGAATAGAGAGGACTGAGCTTCGCGTTATAAAAAATAACTCAATCCAGAGAGGCAATTCATCTAAAGCTGTTTATTTTTTAAAAGCTCACGAAAGCTTCAATAATTATGTTTGAATTCTGTGTTCACATTTTAAATGTGTTTAGTTTGAAATTTAATGTCAGTTTGCAAAAATATTTAGACCCCCTCATAAGAAAAGATGGAAATTTATTCAGCTACAGTCTATGACAAAGCCATTTTTTTTCTGAATTGTTTGCCATTTTTGGAAATTCAGTTGCTTCACTGCATTTATTCTTAAAGACCTGCAATCTGGAAAGGAGGAACTAAGCCCCATTGGACTCAGTTGAGGCTAATTATGCTATAAATCTTATTTACCGCAAAGAAGTTTTACTCTTGAGGCTATGTATATATAGTTCAGTAATTGTGAATTCATGCTGTGTACTGCACGTTGTCAATAGGTTGTTAATACACTCTAGGAGGTAAATGCAATTGTTGGAGGTATACGTTAAGAGTAGTACTGCAAGCTAGCCCCGTAAATTTCTACTCTCCATAGAAACTGAAAGAGTCTCCAAAGCACAAGTCGATGCACGTCTGCTTAGGGAGGCCAACGAATAGTGTTGGGGCACCTTAAAGACTAATGGATTTGTTGTGGCATATGCTTGTCAGATGAGTGGAATGTTAAGGGTAGATCTGTGACAGTTCTTGGCAAAGCACCGAGGTATGCAAAATAAAAACTGACCCATTCACAAAACTCACTGGAATTATCTTGATCTGCTATTTTCCTAATACTGGGAGAGAAATCCACAAGTCTTGATTAAAATGCATTAGCACATCCGATTTGGACCATGTCTGCCACTTTGCAGATAGGAAACCACTGCTGAATTGTACAGATAAGGGGCCTCTTGCCCCTCTCCCCTCAGCAGAAAGGATGGGCAGCCACCACAAATGTCAAGTTTGAAGGGCCCATGCTGCTTTGCTGTTCTGAAAGCGAGCAAGCAGAATGCACACAGTTCCTTCCTTTTGTGGACTACTCCTTCCAGTTGCTGCAATGGGCAGGTCCTTACGTATTAGCTTCTAACCAAGTTCATTTCTATGGGAGAAGATGCCACCCAGTTACGGTGCTTTTGAGCACAGTGTCCGTCTTTTTCTTTTGTCAGAGTAGGAAGAAAGGTCACCTTGAAGATCACGTGCAACTACCAAGAGCACCAGGACAGCTGAATATCCCTCAGTTGTGCCTCTGTGTTTTCGGATTAGGAAAAAGCAGGTACCTGCTTCTAGTGGCACCTTGAAAAGGAGATCTCTGCAAGCATGCAGAGAGCTACTCTCTGCAGTTTCCAGTGAAGCTGACACTCTGACAGCCTAACAAAAGCTGCTATGTAGGGCAGCTCTCTCATTCAGTCTTTAGAAGAGGAGATAGAATCAGTCAGGTAAGCACAGAAGAGGAAGCACTTTCATGGCCATTCTCTTTGTGCACATTTTCCTTGAAATTTTATTATGAACAGGACAGCTGGTGGCACCGAACCTCAGTAAAGACCTTTGAAAGGAACAGGGATACAAAGTGCCCCAGATAGGAAATCTCCATTAAGGCCAGGGCTTTCACCTCCTTGGGTGAGAGGAGGCGATTCTGACATAGCAGGCGGTATGTGTTGTATGCTAAGCTTATGAGGTACCTGAGGCGGCTTGTCCCAGAATTTCTTAGACTCCCAAAGGATCATCCCTTGTCCAGGCATCAAAAAGGCCGAGTTCTCAATACCAAAGATGTTTTCTTCATTGTGGCCTCTGTGCATCACACATATGGGTGCTGCGCCTGTGCAGTACCTTTGGCTGGAAGATTACAAGCTAACGGTTTATTTTGGCAGGAAAGCTCCGCTCCCCCTCCCCCACAGCCTATAAAGAGTGGAGCGTCCGCCATTTTGTTCAGTCTTTGCGACTGCCATTTGCTGTGCCTCGTGCCGCTTTCGACTATCGCTTTGATCGTTACTCGTAGCCTATTTTTCCTCTTCTTGTTAACTCCCTGTTTTATATCCCTGATAGTTCTTGTTAGCTCTAGTTATTTCTACAGTTCTATCGTTCTACCTTCTTACTTCTTCTATAAAACAAAAACAAACCTCAAAAATATATTCTTACCCTCTGCACTGTCTTTTTTCCTCTTCTTGCGATGGCGCAACAAGCGGCTTTCCGCAAATGCGCGGAATGCAGGTCGAAGATGTCTCCATCTGACCCGCATGACCTATGCCTCCTCTGCTTGTGGGAGGGGCATAGGACCGACAAGTGCTCCCAGTGCCTGGCCTTCTCTAAGCAGGCCAGGAAAAATCAGGAGAACCGCCTCCGGAGGCTCCTGTGGGATTGGGCTCTTATGCAGTCCGACCTACTCGTCGCCGCTCCGAAGCCTGGCCCGGCTACGGTGGTCCCACCCTCGCGCCTGTCGGATGAGGGTGCCTCTACTTTGAGGGCCCCACCAGCTTCTCCCAAAAAGAAACACGAGAAGCGCAAGCACGCTGATGCCGATAAATCAGCTAAGAAGGCCAGGAAAGAGAAGCCTCCTAAACCAGCCCAGAAGTCGAGGGATCTGGACCGGCCTCGACACCGCGTCTTGGGTTCGACGACAGCATCGGTACCAGCGCCAGCCACCGTACCGACTCCACCTGAGCCGGTACTCCAGGCAGCCATGAGGGTCACCCCTCTAGGGTCTCCCCATCGTGTGGCCGACCTCCCTACCGAGCCGCTTCTATCCAGCGGGGGTTGATCTCTGATGGGGAAATTCAAGACTCTCCCCTCAGGGCTAGGTCACCAACGCCTATGCCCAAGGCCACACTGGAGACAGATGTGGTCGAATCCCCGCCCAGGGCCCGCCGGAGTCGCTCCAGGGATCAGCGATCCGAGAACTGGCGTCGCTCCTACTACCCATCTTGGGGCGAGCCATACTTGACCGGGTACTATCCTGCGCCGAGGAATCGGTCCCCACCACGCTCTCGTGATCGCCCACTGCGATCAAAGGCGCACATCTCATGATCGCCCACTGGATCCGAGGCGCACTTCCCCGGGAGGAAAGCAGCAGGTCCATCTCGCCAGTGGAGTCCTCTTCTTTGGCCCCTCCGTATTACGACACGGACTCCGACAACTTGGATGTCGATTCCACCTCTCCCGGATGTTGCGGTGACCTCCCAGGGCCCTGCGTCACCAGACGAGTCGCACGTCTCTTTTGCGGAGCTGATGTCCAGGCTCGTCCAGTCCCCGGACATCGACGCCGTCCAGCGCCCAGGACCGTCAACGGATAAAATGTATGACGTCCGCGGGGAGCAGTCCACCTCCATCGTCCTGCCCCTGATCACCACCCTCCGGCAGGCAATGACGCAGCCCTGGGACTTGCCCTCTCACCCTCAACCAACATTGCGGAGGTACGAAGCCATGTACCGGGTTCGAGAGGAGGACATACCATTCCTCCTCCAACACCCCAAGCCGAACTCGGTCATGGTGGAGTCCTCCCAGAGTAGAGAGGCAAGGGGCCACACCGCTCCGCGAGACAATGAGGGCCGCAAGATCGACTCCCTGGCCAGGAGGGTCTACGCAGCTTCAGGCTTGGGGCTGCGTATCTCGAACTACGAGGTGACGTTGGTGAGATACCAGTATTTTATAATGCAACGCCTCCACAACGTCGTCTCGGCCCTCCCAGACCAACAAAGCGACTTGGCCAAAGTACTGATCAAGGAGGTGATGCACGTCGCGGTACAACAGTTGTCCACAGCCAGGCACCATGTGGACACCAACTCAAGGGCCTTGGTTAGTGCCATTTCTCTTCGTAGGCATGCGTGGCTGAGGAGCGCCAACTTCCCCGAAGAGCCCAAGCGGCATATTGAGGAAATTCCCTTTGACGGGTCCGGGCTTTTCCATTCGAAAATGGACCATAAACTCAAAAAACTTCATGAGTCCCGCATGACAGCCCGATGGATGGTGCTCCAGTCGCAACCGAGGCATAAGTGGGCATGGACTCATCTGCCCTACAGACAGCCTTATCATTCCAGGCAACAGCCTCAGCACAGGCAGCAACAACAACAGCAACGCCGCCGACAACAGCACCAACAACGCTACCAACAGGGCCGCTGCCGATATGATGACAGGAGGCAGCGTTGACGGGACTGGCGAACCATTCCTCTACCCTATCCTATACCCACCCCCCTCTCATCTGGGGACCGGCTGTGAAGCCGACTCCCCATTTGGGAGTCCATCACATCTGATGGGTGGGTATTGTCTATCATACAGCACGGCTGTAGGATAGAATTCAATACCGTTCCTCCATCGAGTCCGACCCGGTTTACATCTTGCTCACCGGTACTGCTCGATGAAATACAACAACTTCTTCGTAAAGGAACGATTCGTCAAGTAACTCAAT